GAGCTCCGCGGCCGGGGTAGCGCCGGCGTCCGCGGCCATTGTCGCGCCGATGTGGGCCGGGAGTAGCGCGGACACGCGCAGGTCGCCGAGGTGGGTGCCACGGCGCAGCGTCAGCGGCCGGTCGGAGTCGTTGCGCACGGTCACAGCCAAGGCACGGCCGTCGCCGTCGGCAAGCAGCGTGCTGGTCACCGTGAGGCCTGGGGGCAGATCGGCGGGGAACGACGCGCACCGCGTGCGAAACACGCGCACGGGGGCGCCAAACCAGGAGCCACGCTCCCGCGATGCCTCAACGGGTCCACACGTGAGCTCCCTCGATGCCTCAACGGGTCCACACGTGAGCTCCCTCGGTGCCGCCACGGGTTCACACGGGCGTTCCCTCGGTGCGCCCACGGGTTCACACGCAGCGTCCCACGGTGTGCCCACGGGTTCACACGCGGCATCCCCCGATGCGCACACCAGCGTGGCGACAGTGTGCCCAGTGCCGTCTCTGACGCCTTCCAGGACGACTCCCCCCCGAGGCCGAAGAATGGCCAGTTCCGGGACCAAGGGGTTGGGAGGCGCCCGCGGCGGTCGAGGGTGGCCGTCGGCAGCAGGTACGTCAAGTAAGTCACGACCACTGACCGACACGTTGACGGCGGTGCTGGAGTGGGGCGGCAGCACCGCGTGGTGGTCGCAGTGCAGCTCGAGCACGGCCGAGATGCCGGAGACCGGCTTGGACACCCGCGTCAGTGGCACGACGACGCCGTTGCGCAGCAGCAGGCGATCCCCGTCGACGTCCAAGGTCGACACGTGAGTGGCCACGAAGTCGGCCCCGAGAAGGCACTCCTCGTGGATGGCGCCCTCGAAGCAGGTGACGGTGAGCTCGGTGCCGGCGAGGGCAGCCGTCACGTAGCGAGGGCCGCGGAGCTCGGTGGAGGCGCCCGTCTCGAACGCGCCCTGCGCCTGCATGCTGGGGGCAGACGCTGGGGGCAAGAGGCCGTGCCGTACCACTGTGAACTCCGAGCCGGTGTCCAGCAAGAAGCGGCACTTCCGGGCGTCGAGGAGCCCGTCGGCGAACCACGTGACACGGAGGGGCGCGCCGGGGCTGGGCGCGCTGGGCGCCGCGGTGCCGGGCCGTGGTGCTGCTTGGGCGGTGGAGGCGACGGTAGCCGGTGTCGCGCCCGTCGACGCGGCTACTTGTCGTTTCCCGAACGGCGGCCAGTGGAACCGGAGTCCCGGTTGCCGGTGCGGCTGTCCGTCCGATCCCGGTCGTCCCGGCGCTGCGAGCTGTTGGGACAGTCGCGACGGAAGTGGCCGAGGCCGTTGCACAGGAAGCAGCGTGCGCGGCCTCCGCGGCGGTCGTCGCGGCGGTCGTCGCGGCGGTCGTCGCGGCGGTCTCGTGAAGGCCCCGCGTTGGCCGCGCCAGGCTGCCGCATCTCCCGCAGCAGGTCCCGGAGCTCGGCCACCAGCGACCGGTCCTCGTTGGCGGGCGGACGGACGGCGGCCACGCGCACGTCGGCGTCCTGCTGGGCAGCGGCTGCAGGGGTGGAAGGCTCTTCTCCTACCTGGCAGACCCTGGGTCTCTTGGCGGCAGGCTGTTCCGCTTGGTCGACTGCCTCCAGCCGCAGGGCCGCAGCGACGGTCTCGGCGAAGGTGTCCGGGTCTCGGCGGCGGATGTCCCGGCGCACCTCGGGGTCGGCGAGGCCGGCGATGAAGGCCCGGCGTGCCGTCGACTGCAGCGGGTCCTCCGCCCAGGTGGGGTACGCCTCGCGCACCAACCCCAGCACGGCGTCGGCGTACTCACGGATGCCCTCCGTGGTCTTCTGCCGGCGGTGCTCCAAGGACGCCTCGGCGACGCGGGCACGGGCAGCCGGCGCGTACCTCTCCTGCAGGCGGGCGTGCAGCGCCGCGTAGTCGGTGTACTGGGCGGGCGGCAGGGTCTGCAGCAGCGCCGCCGCGGGGCCGTGGAGGGCACGGAGAAGGCGACGTCCCTTCTCGGCGTCGGTCCAGCCGAACTCCCGCGCCGCGTCTTGGAACTGCGCGTCAAAGATGGCCCACGGCATGGTGCCGTCAAACCTTAGGTCGGGGGCGGGCCGCGGCGTCGGGTTGCGGGACTGCATGGCCAGCTGGCGCAGGACGTCCGTCGTCTGCTCCTGGATGGCCGTCGACGCCTCGCTCCACCGGTGGAAGATGTCCTCCATGGAGCGGCCGGACGCGCCGGACGCAGAGCCTCGACGGGAGCCGGAGCCTCCCGGCATCGTGGTGGTCAGCGGCGCTTTCTTGCGGTTCAACAACCTCTCGGCACCAGTAAGGCGGTGACCTCCTTCCCTCTATCCCACTTCTGACACCAAATGTTAGGATTCGGAGCGGAGGGAAGAGAGGCACGTCAGGACAGTCTGCTGGTTTATTGCCGATTGAGCCGGGCGTACAGGGGTGGTACTGTTAGCGGGGGTTGCCGGGGATACCGGGCCGGGTACCGTCGCGCTAGGGTGGCCACATGGCCGGCGCGGAGACTAGGGGAACCTCTACAATAACAAATCATAACAAATGATTGGCTCTTTTGCCTTTTTTTCAGAGCCACTATAACAAATGAAAAGCAAATTTCCACCTGAAAATGGGATGTCCAGTGCAACAGTCGATGAAGAGTTTTTCCGAAGTGCTCAAAGTGTTTGCCTAGGTCAAGTGTTCATTGATGGTTTAGAAAAATGTGCTACTCTTGCTGTATGCAATATTTTCTATTAAAATCCCTTCGGTAAAATAAATGTTGATATGAAAGATGCCATATGTTGTATAGATTGTTTAATTATGTGTAGTTGTACTGTTTCCGTACTTAAATGTTGTAGAGATGCTTTAATATAAGCATCAGTGTGACTGTTTTTTTCCTTCTTGCAATCTTTTATTTCAATTGCTTTTATGTAGGTGGAGATAGTTGTATTATTATTGCTCCTAATTGCTCAAGAGTAGGATGCAGTTTTCCTTTCAAGTGTTCTGTTTTAATGTGTTTGTTGTTTTGAAATAATAGCTTATTTTACCCGCATAGTCCAAGGTGTTTCTAGGGGTCCTCTCGGTGTGGGGAATCGATTGGCTGTCCGACAGCGGGAAAGGTGTCAAATCGGCCCAAAAAGATGAAAATACGGCATTTTCCCACTATTTTTTTTGCAGTTTTTGGCCCCTGGAAAGTAGGCCACGTGCATATTCGGTGTGCAGTATTTCTTAACTTATTCTAGGCATCAATACGAACAATTCGGCGTTTCGCTTTTCTCTTCTCGCGTCTAGAGTATTGGTCGCCTCCACCGGTCCTCTGGCAAATCCACTGTGCGGCCCTGCCCGCCTCATGCACAAGAGTTACGTTACACGGAGAGGGAACGGGGCGGGGCAGTGCGGGCGCCTCACATCTGTCGGGGAAAGAGGCTGAAACTGAATCCGGGTTGCGGGGAGGGGCGTTCAAATCCCCGCCCGTCTCGCCTGCGCGCTGCGCGTCCAGCAGGACGCACTGTTCCGCCACGACGCCGCGCAGTGCGCCCGTCGCTCTGCCTCTCTCGCACCGACACGGGACGTCCAACGAGTGCGAGAGAGGCAGACTGACGGCCACATTACGCGGGCCCCTCCGGCACAGCCTGTCTCTGTCGCACCTGTGCGGGACGGCCGGGACGGCCGGGACGGCCCGTGAGTGCGAGAGAGACAGGCCGAGGGACCCCAGAGCACCTGTCGGCCTGTCGCCAAGAAAATTCGTCCCGCCAAGTGCTCTAAGCCTCGCACGCGCTGGCGCTTGCATGCCGTGGCCGGCCGTGGCAGTGACTGGAAGACTCAGCACTCGCCGCGCATGTCGGAGAACCTAACCAGACGAGTCCGCTCGTTTGCACCCACACGCACAGTGGGCCAGAAGACCGGTGGAGGCGGCCAAAACTCTAGACGCGTTTTGAGCTCCAGAGACCAAGCTCCCCTCAGCTGCACACTGAGTCGTATTTCTTGCTCTGTCGCTCTCGCACTCACAGGGCGTCCCTCGTAGGTGCGAGGGAGACAGAGCGACGAACACGACTCTCGGAATCCCTCTGCAGCTGCAGCGAGCCCTCGACCGGTCAAAGGAAATAAAGGGCTGACTCGTGCCACCACACGACGGCGTGGTGTGCGTGTGTGTTCGGATAGACGTGTGTCTGTGTGTGTGTGCGCGCGCGCGTTTGTTTGAACACCTGGTACCGGGTGGGGTCACCACGTGCGGTTCGAGTCCCATTTAGTGACTCAAGAGCTCAAAACGCTGCCGGAATTTCGACCGCCTCCACCGGTCTTCTGGCCCACTGTGCGTGCTGGCGATGGAACGGTCTACTTGCTCTGTCGAGCCGAGCCGGGGAGCCCCTGCCAATGGCGGGGTAGGCAGCCCGCCGAACACGCTTGCGTGCAATGCCGCAGGTTGCCTATCCCGTCGCTGGCAGGGGCTCTGGCTCGCGCGTAGTACCACGTCTCCGTTCCGTGCTTCTTAAAGGCGCACTGGGTGGACAACCTGTCGACTACTGATAATGAAGGTAGTTTCCGTCGCTCTGTCTCTCTCGCAAATGTACGGGACACCCCATGAGTGCGTGAGAGACACAGCAACTAAGACGACTCTCGGCGTCAGTCTTGCTGCCCAGGCAACTTAGAAACGACATGCGCTCCGCAATTGCCTTCGCCCCCTCTTGTTCCCAAGACAGACGCTTTTAAATGTAGCGGAAATCCACGCTTTGCCCCTGTAAGTTGATGAAAGTGCTGCTTTGCCGCCCCTGCCCCTTCCCGCGGGTGCGACGGAAACGAGTGGAAGCACAGTGGGCTAGTGCAATCGCTCTCTTTCTCTCTATAAAGTTAATTAAGGCTGCCACAAAAATTTTATTAGCATGCTGACTGAATCAAGTTTGCATTAAAGCTCACAATCCACAATGCAAATGTCTTCATTGATAGAAGGGATGATTTGTCCACCCAGAGATACTATGCTCAAACCATAGAATATGGTGCAATATTAGGTCAAGGGTTCAGTTACTAAGAAAATGACCTCAAGTAATGAATAATTTACTTCACTGTACTTCAATTGATCCAAAGCCTTTCTCATGAACAACAAAAGCCTCTCATATCATGGCAACACACATCTAAAAATTTCTGTCAAAAGAAATGCATAACTGAACTCTTTTACAAATACATTAAATACAGTTGTAACAGGAATTGTGTGAATGTCGCAACAGGAACAGCACAGCTTAAATAACGTTTACACAAAATTCAGTGTAGATAAATAATTGAGTGACCGAAGTAGAAAGTGCAGCAAGATAAACTGATACAACTTAGCTACGATCATTTGAAACTTGCTTCGTAAGAAAAACTGCAGTTCAACCAAGGAACTAGAGATGGAGGACAAAATGTGCAAATGCAAGGAAAAGGACAAATCCAGTGACAGTGGACTAAAATGAGTCAACAAAAAAAAAAGAAAACATTCAAAACAAAATCAGCTAACAACATTGCACAAAACTTGCAATGAGTGGACAAAACAAACACGTCAACAACTATTAAATAAATAAATAGTTTAAGTGTAGTACAAAATATGAAATGTTATTCTTAACATATCATCATAAAATGGACATGCAACAAGATATGCCCATACACACAAATAGAAAGAAAGTATTTAATTTGGCTTTAAAAATTAGCCTAATTTTTTAGATCTTCGGGAAACATAAATCAAACCCATTATCATCATCTGTGGATACCAACTTTATGAAAAGTATGAACGGCTCCAGAAAATTGGTTAGGAGAAGTAAGAACATACCATGCATACAGTTGGTATCTATACAGGAATCTTCTCATTTATTTCTTTTCTTACAAAAGGAAATAAGACACCTTAGGAGATTGAGGAAACAAGTCTCTTGTCATAAGAGATTCTATCTTAAGTAGGATCATGATGAACTTTATGAATATTATATTTAATAAATTATTCACAGGAATGTCTACAGGAAAATTGAAACAAAAAATTCAATAAATAAAGTCTATACAAACATTGTACTCAAATTGAAAGCAGTGAGATGAACACAAAAAACATAATAAAACTGTCCTTCAAAACACATTGAGCAAACAAAACTGAGATTAACAAAAGGAATGTCAATAGAATGCGACGCAATCTCAGTACCCTTTGGTGTTGAAGCTTTGAGGCTGTTTTCTAAAAATACCGTAAGTAACCGGCATCCTCATGTTGGAGGAAAGATTTTCAGTTTGTCGTGATCTCATGACAATATACGATTTAAGATACGGTCCAGCAGGTATTGCACCAAGTGTGAGACTGCCCCAACTACAGCAGTGCTGCAGCATGGCTACATGGCTACAGATGCTAGAATGGTGGGATGACAGGGGACCAAAAGTTCCAGTACAAAGTCCATGACTGGCATTCCACCATGCTTCAATATAATCTTAAGCAAAATCAAGATAAATTTCAACTTCTTTTTTTAAATGAAAGAATTTAAAGAAAAATCTTCAAGATTTCATGCATGACTAAAATAGTCCTGGAACAGAACTTTCACAACAAAGAACAAACAACTTTCATTTTGATTTTAAGTAGCTATATTTCCTGTTTCTGACCAATAAATCTTTGTTGAATGAAGGAACTTATTAATTATCATTGCTTGTTGCACTTCTACCCTTCATGATTTCCTTAACATAAAAAAGAAAATATTTTAACAAAATATTCTTTAGGAATCATATAATTTATTGAAGCCATAACAAGAACTAATAATACTGTAAGATGGCAATTCAGAACAGAAACAATTAAAAAGAAAGGAACAGTCCACTCTTCATTCCTTAAGGAAAATAAATATCTCAACAGATACAGTAGTTGGCACAAACCGTCAAGAACAACTTTTAAACCAACTAGGTAGTAACAAACTTCTTAAACTAGCACTAGAACTTCACATAAGATTGTCATCAATAGCAAAGACATTGGTAAGTTACATTAAAGCAGGCAGTAACAACTTAAGAAAGTTTATACAACTCATCTTTTACCAACAGAAGGCCTTTGTGGTTGAGGTGTATAAGATCCTTTCGTTTAGAAGATTTAAATTTCCTAAAAAAAATAAAAAAAAATTAATTAAAAAGCAAAAATAAAGGAAAGGACACATACACATACATTCAACACATACAATTCAAAGCAATCCATTCTGCACTTTGAAATTCTTTTGTCACAATACAATCTGGAGATATCTAGGTGGGAAATATGAGGGGGACCTGTAGAAATAAAAAGTTAACACAATTAACATAGAAACTTAGATGGGAATCAGTTAAATCTTATCAAAATCAGTCAAGAATGCTCGAGGCCAAAATTAAGGAGTGTGAAAGCTTTAAGTCAGGTTGACTAAACATTCAAAAATTAAGTTTCTGAAAAGTGTTGAGGGAATAATTTAATGTAATATAAAAGAAAAGAATAAACGCACTTGTGCTGATAAGTACACTAGCCAACAGGTCAGTTTCCAATGTGTCATCTTCATCTGACCATGAGGAGTCACTGAACCCATCAACTTCTTCTGTGCAAGTCAGACATCCGCGGCAAAAAGGTGAATCTGAATGGAACTCAGCCAACAACTCCTCCTCTTAGAGCTCCTCTTTGGAAAGAAAATATTGGGGAGAAATGTCGAATACACTTATTCCCATCTCTGTAATGACCATGATGCCAAAATGTAAAGCAATACTGTGACAGCCAAAATGTAATAAACAGGACCAGATAAATTACTTATATAAAATTATTTTCCTGTCTTTAAACAGAGCATTGGGCAAGGCAAACATACTCAAATCTAATAGATTTCACAGAAATAGAGAGCAAGAGAACGAGGGAGGGGGATAAATGTTGTTCAGTCAACTTGGTTTTTCAGCACTCCCCTCAAAAAGGACCCCAGCTTTCAAATTGATGCAGGGTGATTTACATGAAGCATAGTGCTTACCAGCATTGTTTAGTGTCCTGATAAAGTCGTTGTACTTATTCAACCTTGTCCAGTGGTGGGTAAAATGCTCATGGAGAGGAACAGGTGGTAATGTTAGGACTACTATTTTCTCAGCCTTGGTACACAAATAATCCAGAACTCGACGCAATTCATGTATCATTTGCTCAGCTTGACAATTCTGTTCCAACAACAGACAAAAACAAAATAAATGAGACAACTTCTATGGCAAAAACAGGAAAATAAAGAAAACAAGGAGCGAATACATACTTTGACAAGGTCATTTGTTCCGATCATAAGAACTACGTTATTTCCTATGTGATAAAACCCTGATTTTAAGCGTTTCAATAGATCTCCAATTCTCTGGCCACTCACACAGTATCCTAAAAACCGTATGCTCTCTGTAAAAATTAAAATAAAGGAATGTCAAGTTTGATATGTATAATTAATAAGTAACCAAATTAACTTCAAAAAAGTACATTACCACTAAGAATTGGAGGTTGTCCCAGTATTTGTTGTGAAAAGCGGAGAAGCATACTATCACCAATAAGTTGATAACTACCAATCCTGGGTATCTACATTTAAAAATTAAAAAAGTAAAAAAGGGAAATAAAAGAATAAGTATAGTTAATCTTAGTGCATAAATAAGAAACAAGCTGTAAGTAACTTACTGGAGGATTGTCGAGTGCTTGTAAGCAAGTAAATCGCTTATCAACCATTGGAGCAGCAGGTAGTAGTTCAGCTGAAGACTCGGGTTGAAGCCATTGATGGGGTAGAGAATAACGGTTTGCAGGTGGTATTGGATATTCCTGAGAAGGTGGTAATGAACGCCGCTTTATGGGGTAATCTACAGTGCCCGGTGGTGTTAGTGGTAGATCACCTAAAAGGGGACGCTGAGGGTGTGGAGGAGACGGATATCTCACTAGTGAAGCTATAGCATCACCATCAAAGTCATCTTGCCTAAAATAAAAACATAGGGATTACTTTCAAATAAAGCTCAGAGAACAAATCCAAGAACATGAAAATTGATTCAATGTAGCTTACCATTGGAATACTCCTTGCTGCATTGCAGGTGCAGGAGAAGCAGGATACTGTTGAGGACTTTGCCAGTTGGGTGCATAGGGAGACCCTGTCATTGCTGGTGGGTGATACATTTCTTGCCTCATGGGTACATATGCAGGCCGTGGTGCACAAAATGGGATGAGGCCAGCACTAGGCTTTGAACAACCACTACCACTTCTGCTTGACACTTCAGAGGGAGACTCAGTTTCACTTGAATGGTGACGAATTGTGAATATTTCATTTTCAAAAATTTCATCATCAGATGCAGATGACACAGCAACATCAACATAAATTTCTGATGCAGACATCCTTGCTAGGTGATTCAAATTCTTAAGCTGCTGTGGTGGGTACTTGGTGTCTTCAGCCTTGACAGGTGTTGAGTTCTCTGAGGAAGAATACACAGGCAGAGGGGAATTGTGTCTCTTGTGACTACTTCTTCCTCTCTTTTCATGCCTGCTCCTTGGGGTCTCTGCACTCCATGACTGATTCAGCCTGTCTTTGGAAGTGCCTCTCAGGCTTTGTGGGGTAGATGAGGAATCAGTCTCATGTTGACTGAGAGGAACCGATCTATTTAGGTGTTGGAGACTTCCCTCACCTCGTAGCTTGATCCGAATTTTGCCTTTGACATCATCATCTGTCTGATCATAGTCTTCATGTCTTGACTGGCGCTTAGTGGGAGAGGGGTTTCTGTCTGGTGAATCATTTTCTTCTTTATGAGCAGAGCGTTTAGATTTCCTGGATTTTCTTGAGTGTGCCTTGACCTCCCTTGAAGGGGATTCATTTCTTTGAGCAGATTCTTCCTTTCTCTTCTTGTGCTTTTTACTTTTGGAGCTTCTACGCCGAGGGGCAGCATTTTCTCCTTCCAATTCTTCCATTGCATTTTTTTGGTGAGAAGCTTGGGGTGCAAGTTCAGGTGACGGCACTTCATCCTGGTCTTCATTGGCAATTGAATCAACATCTTCATCGTGCGTTGAGTTGTTGAGAAGCTGTGTCTGAAGTTCTTCCCCTGGCCAGGGTATCATGTGAACTTCAGTTGTCACTTGAATGCGAATCTCTTCTTTGACACTACCAAAACTGACGTTGACGTCCTCGCTCTCCGCCCCATACGGTTCTTGACGCTCTTGCAGGTGCAGGTCGGAGTAGGCCGCGTCGCAGGAGTCTGTTTCTTCTTCAGCGTTAACCTCTGCGGCCGTCGCGGTCGGGGCGGCCCGGCGTTGGCTTTGGACGTCTCTCTCCTTTTCTTTGCTCTTGATGATGCTGTCCAAGTGGGAGCTGAAGATTCTGTTGGGTATGAGACGGGGCGACTTTCCACGAGTGCCCCGGGCAGGCGGACTTGCGTTGGGCCAAGACGGCATGCTGCTCCATTGTCGATGCACGGAGCGTCTCCAATTTGGCCCCAAAACGTACCGATGGACAACCAGGGATGCCAGATGCCTAGGGCTCCAAGTCGCCACCAGAGCGCGCCAAGTCGCCAACTGGTCGCCAACTCAGTGGTGGGGGGTGGCGGGGGGTGGGGAGGGGTAGGGTGGGGGCAGGCGCGGGGTGTTGGGGAGCGGTAGAGTGCGGCTAGCGCGCGCTTTCGACCGTAGTTTGAAAATGCGACTAGCCTTTCCCTTGGGTTTGGAACTGTGAAAACCCAGTTTTGGCTCCCAAATTGGCGACCTGGCGGGAAAATCTGTCGCCAGCTGACCATCCCAAATCGCCAACATTGGCGACTTGGCGACAAGTCTGGCAACCCTGTGGACAACGGTGCAGGGACCCAGCGTAACCTTTCCAAATCACTACGCCAGTAGCCAGAGAACAGAAAATAGTCCCGCAGGTAATAGGATTTTTTAAAACTAATAATCAATTCTAGACCGTTGCGATCGTAATAAATCGTATAAGTAAACAACGTTGAAAAAATAAGAACAATCTTAGACTTAATCACTAAGCATTCCGGGTTCTGCATTTCCGCGGGCAGACGACGCGCCGGTCCGAGCCCCGCAAAACACCGGTCTCTCGGACCCTCTTTTTGCACTAAGATTGAGTGACTGAAAGAGATATCATAATGACAGCTTGCATTAGTCTAAACCTAAGACGTTTTTGTATGCCCAGCTGGCCCTTATCTTTCGAAATTGTGCCTTATTATTCAGAAATTTTGATTTGAGTGCACAAGGCTGGCTTCTTCTTTAGACCGAGCTCCCAACTTTTTAGATTATCTTTGAGCAACTGAAAGAGATTCAATAATAACTGCTTATATCAGTGAAAGCCCCACACATTTTTGTCTGCCGGAATCGCCTTTATTTTTAGAATCAATACTTCTTTCCTGAGGATTGTGAAATAAACTGCGCCGATTTGGGGAAAAGACGGACGAGGGGCTACTTTCGGAAAGGTTACGCTGGGACGAGTATAGTTATATTCGCCCTATGTCGTGCGCCGAAGGGGCCAGAAGGTATTCGCACTACGCTTGTCGTGCCTACAAGACATCATCCGGTATTCGCACTACCACAGCGGAGCGTAGGGCGAACAACAAACACTTTTGTGCGTATTTTAAAGCGTCCGTTATTAGCCCGACGACTATCGTGTCACATAAATAAAACTTTTATATTTAACAATATACGCGTAATATCTGTTATTTACTCACCATTATGTCAGATAAGTATTCTATCTTTTTCTCACTTTGTTTATATGTGTCACTAACCTCCACATTTCAGGTGGAAATTTTGGACAAATTTCTTTTGGCGGTTTTTTTTTTGCTTAAAGGTTGCCTTGAACTAAATTCAAGTTGAAGGCCTGCTTCTCGTTTCTCCACGTGTTTCGGGGTAGTCCACGAAGTGGTTTACTTGCTCTGTGGTAACAGCTTCAAGCAGTTGCAGTGTAAGGATGGAGGTAAGAATCAACATCACATCACTTTCTCTGAACTGTTTTGTATCAGATGAATTTATTTTACTATGAAGAGCGTATTTAATCACTACTTGGTGGTCTCTGGGTTGATTTTGTTGACCTAACCTCTGAGACTTATGGGTCTTTTCATGTGTTTAAGGAAACTTCTTGGAAACCATCGCTCCATCAGACTTTCAGTAGCTTCGAGGAATTTGAAAATTTATTAAAGGGTTACAGTGATAAAAGTTTTACTGAATGGGTCACCGGGAATTCTCGGAAGGTGGAGGCAGAAAATAAGGTCTTGGAAGCTCGCGGTGCGCCACCAATCGATCCAAAATTTAGATACAAGTATTACACCCTCACATGTAAATGTGGGGGCAAGGATCGAACTGGGACTGGTAAGGGCATCCGTGTCAACCAAAGGTATTGTGATTTGTTTTACCTTTTCATATTAGTGCCATGTTTAAGAATTGGTGTTGATTGTTCAATTAACTGTTGTTTTTTTTTTGCTTCAGCACTTTTAAGATTGGATGCCCAGCCAAAATTCTGATGAAGTATGAGAAAACCTTAAAAAAGCTTCAAATTTATGAAGTTAACCTCTGGCACAGTCATCCAGTCACGCCAAATATTAAGGCGTCCTTTCCTGAGTCCAGAAGACTAGACAATGATGAAGAAAAGGCAGTGCAAAATTTGCTCAAGGCAAAAGTGAAGCCTACCATGATAAGAAATCTACTAGGAAATGTGACATCTAAAAAGCTTACTTCTAGGGACATTGCCAATCAAAGGTCGGTAGTGACCACTTTGAACCTATTTTAAGTCTGCCTATTTTATTCTCTTAAACTTATTCTTTCAGAGCTAAAATGAAGAAAGAAGCCCTCAGTGGACGGACAGAGGAAGAAAAACTGTTGGACGTCCTTCAGGAACTTACGGATGTAGATCCAGATTCTAATATTCACATTGGTCAAGATAATGGTGGCAACCTTGAATTTCTTTTTTTCCAAACATCTGAGATGAAGAAGAATATGCAGAAATACCCCTCTGTTGTTATCATGGACACCACATATAAGATAAACAAGAATCAGATGCCTGTTGTGGTGTTCATGGTGATGGATGGAAATGGCAGTGGCCGCGTCGGTGGTTATGCATTTGTCGCGAATGAAATCAAAATAACTTTGAAGAAAGTGCTTGAGGCACTAAAGAAATCTCTTGGTGAAGAAACCGTTGAAAAAATCAAGGTGGTTGTGGTGGATAAGGATTACTCCGAGATTGGCGCCTTAAAAGCTGTGTTCCCACACTGCAGAATTCAATTGTGCGACTTCCATGTCTCTAAGTCATTCCAGAAGAAGGCTAATGAACTGCATGAGCCGAAAGTAGTGCTTGAAATTCTTACCAAGATGAGATATTGCACAAATGATCAAAGCTTTCAGAATTTAGTTGCAGAATTGAAAAAGGCTGCAAGCCAGAAAATGTATGAGTATTTTGAGAACAATTGGCTGAAAATCAGTGAGGGGTGGTCATTAAGAGACCGTCATGATTGTTTGGGCAATACCACTTCTAATAGGCTTGAGAATCACAATGGGAAGATAAAAATGGTAAGTGTTGTGGAGACTGTCTGGTTGAGTTAATTGGTTTCCTGGAGGAATGATTCTCAATTCTATTTTCAGATTCTTTGATGGGGAAAATGTGGAAATATCAGAGACCATTTGCTGTAACAGTCATCTGATTTTATTTCACTTTATAAATGTCTGACTTGAACATGAATTAGTGCGTGCCTGAAAGACAACATTGTGTGCACCAGAACTCGGGGTTTTCTTGTTTACACCCCTCGAGACAAGGGGAAATCACTGTGAATTTCGGTGTACTACAAATGAATTTCAGTCGCATTTCGATGAATTTCAGTCGAAATTCGATGAATGTTAGTCGAAATTCGATGAATTTTAGTCAAAATTTGTTGAATTTCAGTCAAAATTCGATGAATTTCGGTCGAAATTCGATAAATTTTCCTGAATTTTAGTGAATTTTACATATTTGATGAATTTTGGAGTACAAATTTGGCTGGAGTTATTTCCCCTTGCCTCGAACGGAATGCTTGGCACTTCTCTGCACCGTAGCGCGTAGCGCAGACGGGGCTCTAACAATACCGTAAGCAGGTGTGCTCTGTCAAGGTGTCCGCCCCCACGCTCCGCGTCAACGCCACCGAGTTCACGTCGGCCGAGCTGACGTCTGGACAGGTGGAGTACACCCACGACGACTCCGAGTCCCAGCACGACGCGTTCCACTTCGTGGCCATGTCCAGCGAGGCGAAGGACTTCATGTACGCCGGCACGGTGCACATCGACGTGGTCCTCAAGAACGACAACGCCCCCGTGCGCGCCGTCGACCGCGTGTTCCACGTCGTCAGCGGCGGCGAGCGGCTGCTCACCGACCGCCATCTCAGGTGAAAATTTTAATTCACATTTAACACGTACTGTGGGCCGCCGTGGAGGAGATCAAAATCCTGGACGGGCTTTGAGCTCCAGGGTCGCTCAATGGGACTCGAACCGAACGTGTGACCCCACCAATGGATTGCTCTCCGAGGGAGGAATCCATCGGTGTGGTCATACGTTCTGCCGCTGCAGGTGAGGCGGCGCCTCGCCGACGCGGTGACCAGCCAGCCCGGCCAGCCCGGCCAGCCAGCGTTCACGTAATCCGACCCGCGGCTCGCGACCGGCATGTGGCCCCGGGTCCTGCCCTGCCCCACTGACTGGACTGCATCCGCATACTGACCGAGCCGCGGCCGAGCCACCGCCCGGTGGGCCTGGTGGCCCTGCTGGCGGCCCACCGCACATTTGAGGGTGCAAGCTCGGATTTTATTACGTCAGCGAATTCGGGCTTTTCCGGATGGCCCCGCGGGGCTGCGTCCGCAGCCAGCACTACGATAATTGCGAGAAAAATGTTGACCTCCTTGCAGTTGACCTCCACTTTTTACGCGTGGCGTGGGTGGCACCTGGCGCCAACTCCAGCGAGCCCACGAACAGCCTCCAGTAGATGGATTCCAAAACAGCGCTCTGTCGCTCTCACACTCACGGGGGTCCCGTAGGGCCGCAGGGGTGCGAGAGAGACGGAGCGACGAAGGCGCTGACCCGCAGGACGATGGTTTGACGTGGAATGCCCCCACCGTATATTTAAGTAAACATTCTCATTAGTACTCTGCAAACTGAAGTGTGTACATAGTACACTCTTATTGGAGCATACTTCCAAGTACACTCTTATTTACAGCATACATGCTAGGCACACGCTAAAATAGAGTGTACATTGCATGTACACGCTAAATAAGAGTGTACCTGGAAAGTACACTTAAACAAGTACACTCTTATTTACAGCATACATGCTAGGCACACGCTAAAATAGAGTGTACATTGCATGTACACGCTAAATAAGAGTGTACCTGGAAAGTACACTTAAACTAGCCCATGCTTTTAGATAGGACTAATCGACTGTATTTTAGCGTGTACTTGCAAGATACACACTTATTTAGCGTGTACTTGCCAGGCACACTCTATTTTAGCGTGTGCCTAGCATGTATGCTGTAAATAAGAGTGTACTTGGAAGTATGCTCTAATAAGAGTGTACTATGTACACACTTCAGTTTGCAGAGTATCATCTGCTTTCATGTTAGCGTTAACGTTTTCTGTACCTCTCCCTTCTAACTCTGCGCAGACGTCGCTGCTGTCGCTGCCGGACGACGACCTGCTGAGCGTGCTGGAGTACGTGAGCACGCCAGACCTGCTGTCGTGCCGGGCGGTGTGCCTTCGTTTGCGGGACGTCGCTCTTCGGCCGGAGCTGTGGCGGCGACGCAGCATTGACATCGAGTATAATGCCTCCACCAGAAGCCTCGAAGCCGCCGTCCTGCGCGTGGCGCCGTGTCTCTCCACCATGTCCATGCGGTTTGCAGGCGGCAGCCACGCGCTCGGCACGCTGGCCGCCACGACCAGATGCGCGGCGGCCGAGCTGATCCTCGACGTGGGCCACAAGCCCGCGGGGTGGGAAGCGGCCAAACTCGCGCTCCGCAACCAGGCGGCGCTGGGGACGCTGAGGACTCTGGTACTGTCCTGTCCGCTGGCCGCCATCCCCGGGCTGAAGGACCTGCCGCTGGTGGCGAAGTGCGCGTCGCTGCGCTCCCTCAATCTGGCCGTGGATGAATGCCCCTACAATGCTGAGCCCCTGCACGCGGCGGCCTTCCTGCGCGCCGCCACGCACCTCGAGGAACTCGTGCTCCAGTACCAAATTATAGAAGACTGTAATGTAGACGTAGACGTTCCCGTGGAGCAGGGGCTGCTGCCGGCGCTGGCGTCCTCGGGCCGCGCCTCCCTGCGGAAGCTGGTCCTCAATTGGGGGGATTTCCGCAACGACCGCCGGGTGACGGAGCTGGCCTCGGCTCTGCCCGGACTGCCCGCCCTGGAGTGGCTCGTCCTGCCCCACGTTGTGCCCCGGCGCGTCCTGCCCGCCATCAACCCCGGCAGTGCGCCCCGTCTTCGCGGCCTTAGCTTACCCTCCTGTATGGTCAAGTGCGCGCACGGCGCCCTGCACGAGCCAGACGTGTGCCGCATCCTCGCCAGCTACCGCCACTTCTACCTGGTCGTGGGAATCATGTGGTGCGGGGAGGAGGGGCGGTGCGAGCACTGCGCAAAGGGCTGCCACGGCTTGCCCTTGCCAATCGGCAAAGAACTTGTGGGCTTCTACACGCACGAAGCGCCCAGCAAGGAGGCTGTGGATGGATTGAGCCTGAAGTCTCCATGCGAGACGTGGATGAAAGTGTGACCCGCACACCGAGAAAAGACTTTGCCAAGTTTATTTCAGGGTAGAACATTCCCTGTTGAGAATTTGAAGTGCATTTGATGCCTTGCAGTAATTTAGACATCCAAGAAGTCCAAGAAGTATAAAACTAAATGTATTTTGTTTATAAACCAGAAATTATCTTAAGTATGCAGATTATATTGGTATTACTTCAGCAAAAACACTTATTAGAAACAGTAATTAATTGAAATGTTACTAAATGTTTGCTGAAGAAATTTTTAATGCTCTAGTGCTTTGTGAAAAAAATTATACTTAGTGTATCTTTGCATTCATAGACCATTCAAATATTTTGTCACTGTCCCAAAGATTTTATTTTTTCGAAAGAAATGAAAGGTTCGCAAAATTTAAATCTACTGATGCTTTTAGATAAGTTCATTGTGTTATCCTGAAAACGTGTCAACTATGAATCATTCAGTCACCTAGTCATCATTTATGACAGTTTTATTCCCTTTCTTTGTTACAATATTCATTGCAAATTAAGTTTACTATCTCATTCTACAGGCTCAGGCATTTTTGCCTAAGAAGTTTTGCCTTTGGTCTGTTTTTATTTGTAAAAAAGAAACTTGAAAAAATACTACAAAAAAGAAACAAGTGAGGGAAAGAAATAAATTTTCTCTTTATACAGCGTTTTTAGTTAATTATTTACAAAAATACCACATCAGAGTAACTCCACCCCAAGGTGGACTGAGATCTGGGATTGGGTCACGGATTCCATTCAAACTTTGTGGGCTCAATAGGTACCACTAGGACCTATCAACCCTAAAAGGAAAGTTGGCTAGCTCAAAAAGAACTTGAGATATCTGCATTTTTCTAAATTTGACTAATTTAGCGTAAAAATGTCGCTTTCTGATTTTTTAATGGTAAAAGTTGTTCGCTTAGTTCTGGCTTATGTTTCTTCTTTCTAGTCATAAAAAAAGAAGAAAAATGGTGGTAGGCCAAGATTTGTACGTTGCTTGGTTTGGCCTACTCAATCAATTTTGTCGAATTCATTGAAACTCTCATACCCAAAATACTCCACCTTGGATTTGACCCAAGTCCAAAAGTAGTGCCTCAGACAATTTTATTGCAAACATTTTTTGGCACAAATTAAGCGGAATCGCGATGCGTTCGACATTGGGCCAGAAGACCGGTGCAGGCGACCGAAACTCTGAACGCGTTTAGAGCTCAAGAGTCACTAAACAGGACTCGAACCGAGCCACTGACCCCACCACCGGATTGCCCGCCGAACGAGCAATCCATTGGTGGGGTCACACGTTTGGTTCAAGTCCCATTTAACGACTCTGGAGTTCAAAACGCCTCCGGGATTTTGACCGCCTTCACCGGTCTTCTGGCCCACTGAGCGTTCCAGGCATGCAAACCGCGAGGCAAGCCCGCGCTCAGAACCAAAATTCCAGGTCCGGGTACCTCTCGTAGACCATCTGGACCGGCTCGCTGTCCAGCCACTCGTCCTCGTCGTCCTTGAGCCAGACCTCGAGCTTGGTGAGCGCCGGCACCACCTTGCCGTCCAGCGCGCGCAGGAAGGCGTCCGGGGGCTTGCAGTTGACGTCCAGGCTGGTGAGGAGCGGCAGGCGGTGCAGGACGGCGGCCAGTGGCGGCAGCACCGGCGGGGGCACGTCGCTGTCGGCCAGGACGAAGGCGAGGCTGCGCAGCGAGGCGGGCGCCGCGTCCGCGCCCAGGCACAGCACCAGGTTCACGGCCTCGGCGGCCGGGTTCTTCTGCTGGTTGTAGTCCAGCGTCAGCTCCTCCAGGCGCGTCGCCGCCCTCCACGGCCTCTACCGAAGCGGACGGCACCGCCCCGCGCGCCCCGCGCGCCCCGCGCGCCGCGCCACGCTCTGCACGGCCTCCGCCAGCGCCGCCGGAGCCATCGCGCGCGACTGTGGCGAGACCAGAGCACCAGAGCACCGCGCCGACGACTCAATGGAGCGCTCTGACTCGGAAGGTCACGCGAGGTCCTGCCTCGGTGCCTCGGCCTGCGCTGCGACGTCCCGGGAAACAATTAGGCTCCTCCCTCGCGGGGGTGGCGCTGGGGGCGGCGCTGGGGGCGGTACTGGGGGCGGCGCAGGGGCGGCAGAAAGGTACGCTTCCCGTGGTGCACCGCGATGCGACCGTCGCCGCGCAGCGCCGGAAAGGAGTGCGACGACGCCCGGCCGCGGAGCCCACCGCCCCCACCGCCCCCACCGCCCCCACCGCCCCCACCGCCCCCGCCGCCCCCGCCGCCCCCACCGCCCCCACCGCCCCCACCGCCCCACCCCCCCACCGCCCCCACCGCCCCCACCGCCCCCACCGCCCCCACCGCCCCCACCGCCCCCACCGCCCCCACCGCCCCCACCGCCCCCACCGCCCCCACCGCCCCCACCGCCCCCACCGCCCCCACCGCCCCCGCCGCCCCCACCGCCCCCACCGCCCCCACCGCCCCCGCCGCCCCCACCCCTACCCGCCAGGCCCTGGTCGGCCAGCGAGCGGGGCGAGCCGTCAGGGAGTCACTGGGTTCACCGAGACCCCCATGGCACCGCCATGGCATCGGGGAGACTGCGGAGCCGTCCGCGCGTTGCCAGTCACCTCCAGTCATCATCTCCCCGTGGGGACTTAACTCTCGGATGCGTTTCTCAAACCAGCGCCAAATAAACTGGGACTGTCGCCAAGAAAATTAAATAGAGTCAACTTGATAAAAATAAACGAAAAGTGCGGCCGGCCTCGGCGGTCACGCGCGGCGCGCGGCCCCGCCGTTTTGACGCGGAAGAAGGACTGAGTGATGTGCCCCGCGCCCCGCGGCCGCGCCCCGCGGCGGTGCGGCCCTGAGCAAGGCCGTCTGTCCCAATGACGTCCCAAGGCCGTCTGTCTGAGGTCCAATGAAAGGTGTGTTCTGGCCGAGTTGCCAACCGCAGAGTGAGGTCGCCGTTGGCGGGTATCGATGTAGCCTCAGGACAAGGTGGCGATGACTCTGCCGCGCGGCTGCTCCACGGGCGGCTCGCCTTGGAGGCGCACTGCGCCCTCCTGCAGCATGGCGAGGATGTCGGCGGGGACGACGTCCTGGCGGTGGTGGACCACCATGAGGACGTCGCCGGCGCGCACCTCGGCGCCGACGTGCAGCGCGTCGTCCAGGACGACGCCGACGCTGAGGTCCAGGACGTCGTCCGCCCGCGCGCGGCCCGCCCCCAGCCGCTGGCAGGCCCTGGCGCGTGAGCACGGCGCGCGTCGGCACGCCCAGCAGCTTGGCCACGGCGATCTGCAAGCAGGTCAAGCAGGGCAAGCAGGCAACGTGCAGAGCAGACCCAGACCCAGGCAGGACCACCGCACCCTCACACGGGATGGACACTCACGATGGACCTGGCCAGGTCGGAGGCGCTCTCCACCGTCTTGAAGAGCGCGGCGCGCCCCACCTTGATGTCCATGACCAGCGCGCGTCCCCTCCGCCACCTTCTTGGACACGATCGACGCTGCGGACGACACGAGGCGGCGTCACTCTCAGGGAATGCCAGGCACGCCACGCACAGTGGGCCAGAAGACCGGTGGAGGCGGCCAGAACTCCAGACGCGTTTTGAGCTCCAGAGTCGCTAAATGGGACTCGCACCGAACTTGTGACCCCACCAATGGATTGCTCTCCACACGAGGAATCCATTGGTGGGGTCAGACACTCGGTTCGAGTCCCGTTTAGCGACTCTGGAGCTCAAAACGCGTCTGGAGTTTCGGCCGCCTGCACCGGTCTTAGTCTTCTGGCCCACAGCCCGCCCTACAGCCGCGCACCGCGGCTTTGACGGCCGACCGCTTCCTTACACGTTATGAGCGGGATGTTGTCCACCGTCCCGGTGACGTCGCGCCTCTTGTAGAACTCGCCGTCGGCGGGGGCCAGCTTGGCAGTGGGGCCCACGATGAAGCAGCCAGGGTCCTCCAGGGCGCGGCGCATGGCCTCCACGGGCTGCTGGAAGCCTAGTCACAACAAACGTCACAGTGACATCAATACTTCTAAAAATAATAACAGGAAAAGTAGCGATATACATCGGCAACTTTGGCCCGTCCCGTACATTAACAAATGTGTGAATTTCGCCTTTGTTTAACCCTGACGGGTTTAAACCTGAGTCTGGGGTCGAAATAGATGTTATTTTTCGTCATCAGCGCCCTCAAAAACAGGGGAGACTCCAGGGGAGACTCCAAGGGAGACTCCAGGGGAGACTCCAGGGGAGACTCCAGGGGAGACTCCAGGGGAGACTCCAGGGGAGACTCCAGGGGAGACTCCAGGGGAGACTCCAGGGGAGACTCCAGGGGAGACTCCAGGGGAGACTCCAGGGGAGACTCCAGGGGAGACTCCAGGGGAGACTCCAGGGGAGACTCCAGGGGAGACTCCAGGGGAGACTCCAGGGGAGACTCCAGGGGAGACTCCAGGGGAGACTCCAGGGGAGACTCCAGGGGAGACTCCAGGGGAGACTCCAGGGGAGACTCCAGGGGAGACTCCAGGGGAGACTCCAGGGGAGACTCCAGGGGAGACTCCAGGGGAGACTCCAGGGGAGACTCCAGGGGAGACTCCAGGGCCAGGGGAGACTCCAGGGCCAGGGGAGACTCTAGGGGAGACTCCAGGGGAGACTCCAGGGGAGACTCCAGGGGAGACTCCAGGGGAGACTCCAGGGGAGACTCCAGGGGAGACTCCAGGGGAGACTCCAGGGGAGACTCCAGGGCCAGGGGAGACTCCAGGGGAGACTCCAGGGGAGACTCCAGGGGAGACTCCAGGGGAGACTCCAGGGCCAGGGGAGACTCCAGGGGAGACTCCAGGGGAGACTCCAGGGGAGACTCCAGGGGAGACTCCAGGGGAGACTCCAGGGGAGACTCCAGGGCCAGGGGAGACTCCAGGGGAGACTCCAGGGGAGACTCCAGGGGAGACTCCAGGGGAGACTCCAGGGCCAGGGGAGACTCCAGGAGAGACTCCAGGGCCAGGGGAGACTCCAGGGGAGACTCCAGGGGAGACTCCAGGGCCAGGGGAGACTCCAGGGGAGACTCCAGGGGAGACTCCAGGGCCAGGGGAGACTCCAGGGGAGACTCCAGGGCCAGGGGAGACTCCAGGGGAGACTCCAGGGCCAGGGGAGACTCCAGGGGAGACTCCAGGGCCAGGGGAGACTCCAGGAGAGACTCCAGGGGAGACTCCAGGGGAGACTCCAGGGCCAGGGGAGACTCCAGGGGAGACTCCAGGGCCAGGGGAGACTCCAGGGGAGACTCCAGGGGAGACTCCAGGGGAGACTCCAGGGGAGACTCCAGGGGAGACTCCAGGGGAGACTCCAGGGGAGACTCCAGGGGAGACTCCAGGGGAGACTCCAGGGGAGACTCCAGGGGAGACTCCAGGGGAGACTCCAGGGGAGACTCCAGGGGAGACTCCAGGGGAGACTCCAGGGGAGACTCCAGGGGAGACTCCAGGGGAGACTCCAGGGGAGACTCCAGGGGAGACTCCAGGGGAGACTCCAGGGGAGACTCCAGGGGAGACTCCAGGGAGACTCCAGGGAGACTCCAGGGGAGACTCCAGGGGAGACTCCAGGGCCAGGGGAGACTCCAGGGCCAGGGGAGACTCTAGGGGAGACTCCAGGGGAGACTCCAGGGGAGACTCCAGGGGAGACTCCAGGGGAGACTCCAGGGGAGACTCCAGGGG